CCCCCAGCAACTGTATGATCTTTGCTTTAAAGCCTGGTGTTCCCAACCTTAACACCTGCTTGGCTTTCTGCTAGTCACCCTTGTGATGTACAATGCAACTCTCCTGTTTTACCTGCTTTATTACCTGCTTTAACTGTCTGAAGGACTTCAGTGTTTAAATTTCAGGCAGAATTAAAAATAAAGATTAATATTTGTTTATATAACAAGTGTCTAGAAGTAATGGGTATGTCTTGGCACCTCTTCCATAGGTCGGCTGAAAGGTTTAATGAGGTCAGGGCATTCAAATCCAAGTGTCTTAAAAAAATGGGGGGGTAGAGGGGGGGAAGGCCAGAAGAACTAATTAAAGTTCTTCAAGTCTGCCAGGAGAGGACAAAACAATTAGTAGAGGCTTTTAAATTTACAGGGTAGGGTTCTTAATTTAGCTGTTCTAGATAAATTGACAGGCTTCTAGTCTACTGAAGGGGAGGAGGAGAAGAGACAGATTTAGGCTGCATAGAAAACAAGGGTGGGGTTTTTTTAATTATTACTGTTTAAAAGAATAAAATGACACCTTCCCTCCCCCCCACTGAAGGAAGAAACATTATCTAACTTATCTTGCTACAAGACACAAAAATATCTCTTTATGTAAACTGGCATAATACCAATATAAACTGAAATCACTACAAAGTATAAACTAAAATTATTATAAAGTATATATTGAATTTCCTTGTGCTCTGTTGAAGCAATTCACACTGGCTTATCAAGTTTTTCCTGCTGTTTCCATTGGTAGAATTCACAGGCTAAATCTTATTTTCTTATTTGGTGTGTGAGATGGGCACATCTCACTCTGATCTGGTACTGAGTGACACAGCTGTACAAGCAGGTCAGCAATGCTCCAGAGGCTCCACAGCAAGACAAGCGCTTTGTATTCTCCCTGGTTTTGGCTGACGTGAAGGGGTGCAAGCCCTGTCCTCTTTGCTATCGTCACCTTCTTGCTGAACTTCAGTGTTATTTTTGGTAGTTCTTGTGAATGACTTAGTTATTTGACTTTGCATTAGTTAGAATTTTATGGACCTGGTGTCCTTGAAAGTTTATGGAATATTTGGAAGGTTCCTAGCAATTAGAAATTTCTGAAATCGAGGAGGCAAATCTGCTCTGTGTATGTAGAGTCAAGACATTCTTTTGGGTGATGCTGGCAGAAAAGGTCACCTGTTACACTGATTTCAAAGTGAGCACCTCAGGTGATGCCTCTGACTTACTCATTGCAACAGCAGGGTTTTCTTAGTATGTGTGCTGAGCTGAAAATGAGAGGACAATATAAAATTAATCTGTGTTGGATTTCTTTCGATGCTTAATTAAGTTTGTTAGCTGAATAATCAAAACCTTTAATCTTAAAAGGGAGATTCTCTAGAATTTTTTTTTTGCAATGGATCTTAAATCTAGTTGTAGGAATGAGTAGTAGTTTCATTCTTATGGTTGGTTGTTTTTCTTCAACAAAAATCTTTGTGTAGTTATTCTGTTATTCCCTCCTACACTTGTAGGCATGTGCTCAGAAACCAGCATGGTAAATGGAGTGAATCTATAGTGTGAGAAACTCCATCTGTATAAACTACGCTTCCCATCAGTCTCTTTGATAGCACGCTTAGATTAGTATACTCAGAACTCAAGAAAGACTAGAGGTATTAAAAAAAAAAGCTGAAAAGAATGGGTAAAGTAAAAAATCACTTAAATTATATGAGGGATACTAGCAGACCTACTTTTTTAACAGAAACCCCTTCCCATGTTCCTCTAGTGTTTTGGGGTTTTTTTTAATTAGTCTCTTTTTCTCTTCCTTCCATCTCCCAAGTTTAAATGCTTAAACTCCTTCGTGGTTTCTGGACCATAGTGAATGATCAAATACATCATTTGCCTGTAAGATACCTGTTTTAACACCAGGTTTAGATTTCCTGAGGTGGGTAGAAAGCTTATAACATAGTTGGATCTGTAGTCTGTTGGACACTAAATTGTAAATAAACCCTCTGCTCAGACATGATCTTACCTGTGCAATGGACAAGACAGTTGTCCTGTCTACTGAAATTGTACTTACTCCCTCAAGCTAAAGGGGTTCATGAAATCCACAGTCGTACTGAGTATTGAAATATTTAAATTTGCCAGTAAGGACAATCTCTCTGAGGAACTACTCACAGACTAAAAGAGGAACTTTTTTTTCCTTCCTCCCAAAGAGAATAGAACTGATTTCTGCATCCTGAGATCTGAAATGCTGACAAAGCTCATTTTTTGACAGGGCAGACAAATTTCTCTGCTTTTGTGAAATTAAATCTTACAGTTAAATTGGAGTAGATCTTGGCTCCGAGAGGAACCTCTTTTTAGATGTGGCAAATATCTGACCTGAAATGGCTTGCTTCTGTCACTGATCTGTGGAGAGGATGGACTGTATTAACTCTCTGATATCTGAATTCTCTTCAGGTACAGCGGGATAAAGATCTTACAATTTAGAACTCTTTTTATAGAAGTAAAGGTTAGTTTAGGTCCCAGATCAAGTATTCAGATTAGAAGATTGTGGGTAATTGGTCAAGTAGACATAACTGTAAAGATTATTTTTGATGCCTAGGTATGCATTGCTTTCCCATGTTTTTTCTGTTAGTTTTCCAGTTAATTCCACTGATTCTACTCCCACCCACATAGTGGTTCAATTCCTTTTCAGGACAACCTTGAAGTCTGTTGAGCAAAGCATAGGTATTAACTGCAGACCTACTTCTCAAGGAGAAGCATGACTTTTAGTAGATTTTCAAGAAGTCAGTCTGTTTCTCTTGTAACCTCTGATTTTTAATGAGGATCCATTTGATGTAACTCTGGTGCAGGGCTTTGGTCCTAATGGATTTGCATCTTGAGCATTAAAAATTTGGCTTCTTGGCAATCCCCTTTCCATTCTAAACTCTGCAGCAGCTAATACGGTAACTGATGGTTGAACCTAGCAAATTTTTTAGTAGTTATGAAATGTCTGCTTTTATTTAGAAGTCGATGGGTTTGAGTTGTATCATCACAGATGCAAAGCTGGTATGTGCCGTTTAGTAGAAAGTCTGATTCTGTAATGGTTATTTTTAAAATACTAACCAGAGTCATATGTCTTCTTTTAATCTCCTGTTGCTTCTGGAACACCACAGTTAGCAGAGCCCTTTGTTCTGGTGGCACTGTTATGGCCATTCCAAGTAATTGTAGATAACATCAAGTTGTCTGACGAGGAGGCTGTCAATATTTGTGCTGAACTTGAAAATATTAGAACAGATCTTGAAAAGTAGATACTGTGTCCATGGACATAGGAGAATTACCTGAAGTAAGTTCAAATCAGCAGTTATTCATAACATACAAGGGAGAATGGGGAGGGGACATCAAGTCTGTTGAATGCTGTGCATTTCAAACAAACTTTTGTCTCTTGCTTCTCTCATTTTGCAATGTAGGGTATTGAAGCCCCCAGGAGGAGGTTCTAGTAATCTCTTTGGGAGTACAGAAGAAGTTTCTTCTTCAAGCAGGCCACACCGGATGGCATCCAATATCTTTGGAGCATCAGAAGAACCTCAAAACGTTCCTAAAAGAACAAACCCTCCAGGTAAGAGCAGACACCTCCTTCAGCACAACTGGGCTCTGAATTGTAGCACAGACTTGTTTTTGTGTTCCTGAAGTGGAACACTGTGATCTGTCTGTCTTTTTATGTTGCATTTTTGCAAATTGAGTGGGCTTGAACAAGAAATCTCTTCAGACTTCTGAATATATGAATATTTCGGTGATCTTCATGTTCACAGCCTTTTTAGCACATCATCCAAGTCTAATTCTTTCTGAGTCGAGGTCTAGGAAATGATGAAAGGAAACAGCTTCTGTTCTAGAGCTGTGTCATCACTTAGCTGCAGTGAGTACAGCTGTGAATTTGAGCTGCTCTAATGAATTCTTGTAACAAAGGATTTCAACTAATATCTTCAGGCAAGCAAAAGTAAGTCTCTAGGCAGTAGGGTTCTAGAACTCTTTGAATTCTTATCTTTTTTATTTTTTAATATAGTGTGGTAAAACTAAGTCACCTAGAAAAAATTCTAACAACTGCCTTGCAGGGGGAAAGGAAAGTGGTATTTTTGAGGATTCTAGTTCTGCTCAGCCTCGTCCACGCATGAATCCACCTGGTGGGAAGACAAGTGATATCTTTGGGTCTCCTGTATCTGCCAGCGTGGTGCGAGCACACCCAAACAAGCCGAAGGTATTTGTACTTCTTTCACTGTCAAACCAAGAAGCTCGCAGCGCAGCGAGCTGCCGCATTGTCACAGCGCAGTGTGTGTTCTTTTGAAGGTGACAGACCTGAATTATGCAGAGGGTAACCTCAAATTAGACAGATATTCACAAAGCCTCTTTCTGATAGCTTGTTATCTCTGTCTGGTATATCAGATCTCAGCATGCTCTGTAGTTTGCAGCAAAACTATTAATTAGATGGTGGATGTGTGTTTAAAAAAAAAAAAAAAAATGCCTCCGAAGCCTGTGGTCTTCCTTGTGAGTGAGTTACAGCTGGGGCTCTTGTCACACAGCCGAGAGGCATTTCAACTAGATAGGGAGAAGGTGGTTTTTTTGGCAGAGGTGATCTTGATACCAGCTCTGGAAGGTTGGTCAACACCAGTGAGCTACAGTCATAAATCTTCATGTGGCCTGGCCATGCCCTTCACCTGTCTTCAACAGATGTATCTACATCCAACATGAAAGCACTTCAGCTGAAGCGAGCAACGTTGAAAAAGCTAAGTCAAGATCAGTTTTGTGTGTCAGGTCCACACATGTACTTCATTTCATGATGTCAAGTACTTGATTTCATGATGTCAGGCAAAAGTCCGTCTTGCTGTATCAGTGGTTATTTTTTGATCTTAAAGCTGGGATAATGTTTTTGACATGTCAGATAGCATGGGAACTTAACATCCCATGAAACACAGCTCACTGTTTTTGTGCTGAAAAAGTAGTAGCAGTCTCATTTTTCCTGGAAGAAAAGATTAGTCCAATTTAACTTTTTTCCTTCTTTTTTCCCCTTAAATTTGAAGGTGCTGGTAATGTGCTTTTTCCTAACTTTTTATGCAGACTCTGGAGTGTATTTGGGAGGATTTGGGTCATAAGAAAGGAGGAGGGGGAAAAAAAAAATCTGGGAGCTAGGTGTTGTCAGGATTAGTGCTGTTGGTGTAAGAGAAGGCTTAGTTTTGTTCCTCTGTAGCCCTTTATCAGCCTGGTCTCTTATTTTTAGTTGCTTTTTTAAAAATGTAATATATTCATTCCTGTAAATTTCTGACTAAATGGAGGACACCACTTTGGAAATTACTGTGTCTTTAATTAGAGCATTGGAATTGTGGGGAATACTGGGGTGGAAAGGAGACAGCATATTTGCAAAAATTACTGCAAGCTGAATTTCATGAGTAGGAAAACATGCAAGCTTTTCTGAAGTATTGCTGTGTATCAAAATCAATTGGGATTGTTGGGGAAGTGGTTTTAAAAGACTTTGTTAATTACCTGACTGTTGGGATAATGATGGATACTCACTGGAGGCAGTAATTGCTGAATATAAACAGGGTCTCAAGGGCTGCTTGTGTTCTGGTTGTGAGTACCAGCTGCTCCTGGGTGGCAATGGGTGCTTATTAACAATGGTAATTCCAGGCCTGTGGACTGAGCTGTTCATCACAGACAAAGTTTTAAAACTCTAATGAACTAACCCAGTGTCTTCATCTGCATTTCAGTGAATTGTTGGAGATGGGCACCTTGGTGTAACACAGGAGTTGCCTTCTAATCCCTCTGGGGTTACGTAGCGGTAGGGGGGGATGCAGGGCTGCATGCAGTGTCTGTTGGCTTTTACCATGATGAACATATAAACTTAGATCAGAAACAAAGCAAAACTTTCTGAAGGACTTTGTTACAGACTTGCTGTTTGAGAACAATAATATACTAAGATAATTTTTTGTTTCTTTGCAGGATCACATTGTCTTGAAAGAAGATGAAACACCGAAGAAGCTAGAAGGTCAGCAAGAGAAATTCCTTTCTCTGGTCTCTTTGAGAAGATAAGCTCTGAAGAATAGTTTCTTGTGCTTCTTAAAAATATAAGACTAAAGCTGATGTTCAGGATAATATAACTGAGTTTTCCTTCTGTTAGTCAGAAATTTAATCACTTGTCTCAGGGAAATGATTCTCTGCCTCTTATTGAGGAGAACACCACCAGACATAAGTCTTGGTACTATGTCTGTGTGTATATACTTTGCTTGATACTGGGCACATATATATAGATATACGTGGAATCTGTATATATAGAAAAACATCCTATCAGGTTGCTTCTTCCTCCCTTGCCATTTCCTTCAAGTATGTAATCTTGGCCTTCTGTTTACAACTAACAACTAATTTGTTAGTTGTAAATAACAAATAGCTGACTGACAAAATATATTATTGCTCAGAACAATGGTGTCCCGGTTTTGCTAGGATAGAGTTAATTTCTTGGAACGCTGCTTCCAAGCTCAGTATGAAAGGACTCGCTGGTATGATGCATCTCTTCGTTGCCCGAAACTGCCAGTATATTGCACAGCCTACATATCTTTGTGAGAAAGATTGCTGAAGGAAGAGAGGAATTGTTGCAAAAAGTTAAATTCTTCCTTGGCACCTGTTTCCTTCAGGAAAAAATGATCAGATATATAGAAACCTTAGTGTGCTATGGATGGGAGACATGGGAAATAATGCAGCATCCAGAGGATGAGGCACTTTGCGCTACAGAATAGTGAGTCAATCTAATCCTTTTTCTTTTTATTCAGCTACAGAAAATATCAAATCACAGCTGGAAGATGGAGGCAAGAAAAAAGATGTGGGCAAAGAGGAGCGATGCAAGGAGCCAGAACCCAAGATAGACAATCACGAGCCCCGACTGGGGCCAAGGCCGCGCTCACACAACAAAGTTCTCAATCCGCCCGGGGGAAAATCCAGTATTGCCTTCTATTAGGGTCGTCCCTTCGCTTTCACTAACGGCGTCTGCACAGACTCTCTTGTTGCGAGGTCTGTTGTTTGTGGATAGATTCTTAGGCAGATGGATGAGGGTTGTGCTAAGTGTGTTGGAAGGATAACCTGATGGTGTGAGGAGGGAGGGCTGGGGAGGGAAAGGGGAAGATGTGAGGATTGGGTGGCAGAGGGGGACATTAGTGTAACTTTGTGAAAGATCAGTGCTACTTTGTGGTGAGTTCATCAGACTGTTAGGTTCTTGGCTAGCTAGTGGCTCAGGACACTCTCGTGGACAAGTCCAGCTTATCTGTGCACTCAACACATTGTGAATGGGTACTGACCTGGAGGTCACATCTGAAAGATGCCCGAGCACAGCAGGTTGGCTGTGCTCTCCTCTAGGCAACAGGATGCAGTTTCACAGGGTGAGTTGACTTGTGGTCACTTTAATGTAACTGTATTCCACTGGAACAAGTAGTGCTGCCCTGGTTTTGAGTGTATTCAGTCTTTGACTCTCTTTTTTCTTTCTTGCTTTGCAGCACATGATTGCTGATAGAAGGACAAAACATGCCAAATGGGGTTTTTTTATATTTACAAACCATAAATAAATTCATAAACCACCTCTCCCCAGAGTGTTCAGACCTTTCTGATGCCTTCAGTAATCTGCTGATTACAGCAACTGGCTCTTGACAAGTGATAATATCAGTCCAATATACTGTTCCATGTAGGTGCTTCTAGAAGGCTTTTATTTAAAGTATCCTGGTTGAGTGCTCGCACATTTTCTGGTAAAGATGTGGGTGCAAACAGTAGCTTTATGGTACTCATTAAACAAAAGCAACCTCAAGTGTGCAGTTACCATGGAGAATAAATGGCCGTGTCCTGCCAGCTAGCTTTGACCCAACGTGCAGAGAAATGTCTTCGCTTCTGCAAAGGTTCTTACTTGGTACCCTGCAGAAACCAGGGCTGTTCTGCTGCCTTCACCACAGTGTGTTTGTTTGTCTGTCTGTGCTGACTCTGTTAGTGAATTCTCTTGTCTCTGGTCAGCTTTACGTTTGCCTTTGACTGCCTCAGACTTTTGTTGGTAAGGTTGGGAGAACAACATGGATTCTACCCAGACCACAGTTGTAGTTGTTTTGAAACACGCTGTAGACTGTCCTAGTTGGAGAAACCAAGACTTTAGCAATACAAACATTCTGGTTGCGCTGGCTGTCTTCAATCATGTTTGGCAGATGTGCATGTTTTGCACTTGCAACCTGTTGAGAAGGGTAGCTCCTATCATTTGTTCTCTGAATGGACTTTCTGATCATAGCCAGAGCTTTGATACCTGAATGTTGACATTAGGTGCTTACTGTTCCATGTATTTAATAGTGACTTTTTAAATTTGACATATCAAAACAGGGCTTGTTTGGGTACACCAAAGAACAAGTGGCCTTATCTGCATATACCTAATGCTGTTCTAGCCCAGGTTCCCTGGGAGCTGCGTTGTTTAGAGGGGAACGTCTCTGGGCCAGGTGCTAAAACACTCAGTGATTATAGCGCTTAATCAGCTGCTCCATTCGGTTGGTGTCAGAAGTGGTGGATGACTGCGCGAAGACTTAGTTGCCTTTTCAGATGTGAAAGTGAAATATATGGGGCAGTGCTGAGGGTGGAAATAGCCATGGAAAATAGGGATTTCGATGCCTTTGTGCCGTTCAGATAGGTTTGGAGCTGCCTGTTACTTGCCCCCCTAGGAAAAGATGACAGTGGTTCGAACTGCAACCCTGGAATGGATTTGCATTACTTCCAAACATGTATTTCCTCGCAGCTATTCTCGAGTCTGTGCTGTCCAGCCTCTGGCTGAGTCTCAGACACATCGATCTGTTTCAGTTCCTTGTTCCACTACTCGACAGGGTTTTAAGAGGTGACCATACGGGGAAAAGTCAACCAGAGGCTCCTTTCTGCGCTGAAGGGTCTGATTTGATTAAGAGTCTGTAATACTGAGCTTAGACTTGGCATCTTTTAGTACCTGATGTGCATTGGCTACAGTGCCTGACTGTAAAACAGCAACTTCCATCTAGGCCTTAAATTAGTTAAACTGTGTTCATTTTCTGCTATTTCTTTCTTTGGAATCTAAACCATGTTTTCAACTCATCAAGTAAGATTGATAAAAATTTTTTCCAGGACAGAGGGGGATTGGAAATCAAATGATGAATCATGCAATTGTCAATAAACCTCTGTATTTTGTTACTTCATTGTGTGCTGTAGATGTCTGCTTTTATAAATGAACTGTAATCTAGTTCAATGTAGATACACTAGTGAATTTTGTTATCTGAAACTGGAAAAATTGCACAGATCTTTTCAGGCCTTCTATCATGGGGAGTATGCTTCAGCAGTGTGACATCCTGCTCAAGGCTGCTCAGGAGACAAGCACCTCTTATCCCTGGGGAGTGTGAGTGGGTGGTAGCAAGGGCGAGCTATTCAGGATAATGCCTTTTGGTGGGCAACACTCCATGATGTGCTGTACTGCACAGGGATGCTGTTATGCTCTTCAGCAATATTGTAAATAGACTTAAATATTCAAATATCACAGAATCATGGTGGTTGGAAGAGACTTTTAAGATCACCAAATCCAACCATAAACCAGCACTACCAATTCCACCTCTAACCTGTGTCCCTGAGCACCTCGTCTGCCTGTCTGTTAAATCCCACCAGGGAGGGTGACTCCACCACCTCCCTGGGCAGCCTGTTCCAATGCCTGACTGCCCTTTTGGTGAAGAAATTTTTCCTCGGATCCAATCTAAACCTCCCCTGGCACAACTTGAGGCCATTTCCCCTCGTTCTATCACTTGTTACCTGGGAGAAGAGACAAACCCCACCTCTCTCCACCCTCCATTCAGGGACTTGCACAGAGCCAGAAGGTCTCCCCTCAGCCTCCTTTTCTCCAGGCTCAACACCCCCAGTTCCCTCAGCCACAAGGGAACTCAGCACACTTGTGCTCCAGACCCTTCCCCAGCTCCATTGTCCTTCTCTGGACATGCTTCAGCACCTCAGTGTCTTAATTATTTTAAATATTTAAGTCTATTTGTAGGATAGTGTAGTAATTCTCCTGGAGCAGGGGATGCTCTTTATGTGGAGAAGTCATACCCCCACTTGTACACTTGTGGTGTGTGCATAAAACTGTCCTCCTGTGCCAGACTGTCCTGGCTGACAGCATGAAGGTAACTACAGCTACAGAAATTCTAGTTGTGGGTGAGTTGGATGTGGTGGCCTCAGCCAGGGTGTTCTAAATCCACTGCGTTCACACCTTAATTTACAGATGGTGATGCCCTACAGAGGCTCTCAGCCAGCGCTTGTTTCTACAGCGACATCTGTATGTTGTACCAAGTTCTGCCATTCACAGTTCAGAACTCTTCTCACAAGCGTCCGTGATGCTTTGGGGAGGATCTGCTCAGTTTGGGAGCACGTGAACACCCTTGATAGAGAACATGTTAGGAACAAAGGGTTGTCCTTCCCTGGAGCTGCTGCTAACTCGTAGACTATGATATAGTTTTGCTTTGCAATTCTATACATTATCTCACTGCTTTGCCCCTACATTGAAGGTTTGTAGCTTAAACACTTGAGATGGAAATAGGAACCTGGATAATATTCTGTCTTGGAAGGAAAATGATGATACGTGTTACAATAAGCTTAGCTTGCAAAGTGGTCAATGGCTGACTTGTATGCTTTCCTTAAGTCACTTGTACAATTCTAGGCAGAGCTGCTCCAGATGCCCTGGAGCATCACCCCTCCTGATCCCCTGTGAACCTGATGAACCCAGATCATGCAGACTGCTGGCTTCCTGCAATACCTGCGGCACTGTCTGATACTGGCCTGTTACATGACCATGTACCCGCTGATCAGCAGCCTCCTTCCCGCTCTTAATGAGCAAGATTCATGTACTGCCTGTCAGTGTTCTAAGTAGTGTTGCTGTGGGTGTTTTGAAGGATTTATGGAGGTTAATCAGACTTGGAATACCTGAAGTACACTCTTGGGGTTTGTTTAGCAAGAGAACACGTAGTGTTGTGTGGAGACAATCATTTAAGCACTAAATGAGTAACTTGTGGCACATTCCCTGAAACATTCTCAGTTGATTACATATACTATGATCACACTGGTGCACGGATGTCCAAGTATCTTGGCTACCTGTATGATCAGGTGGTGGAGAACAGTTGGATCCTTGCCTGTCAACATGTGGGGTGTGGTCAGTTGTCCACTTGCATCTCCAGCCTTTGGAAGCCAGCTGGCCACCCAGCATTTTGTTCAAGCCCTCTGATGTGTCTCCTATTGAATTTCAGCCTGAAGCTCTGCTGAAATCCTGTATCACTTCCCTTTGGAAAAGGTGATGGTTTGGAATGTTGCTGAGGCTGGAGTTTTCCCTAGTTTATTTTTCTTGGGGACTGAAGTAGGGTCCCAGCCAGGATGCTGTGCTGTGCTAGACTAGAGAAAGCAAGAGCATACTGACCAGGGAGCGAAGGCTCTGCTGGTGGAAGAGAGACTGTGACATGTGATGAGCCATTTGTGTCATTACTTATTATCAGTGTGTGAGAAGCAGACTGGGTAATGACATCCTTGTCTCTAAATTGGAAATGTGGGTTTGATGGATGGACTACTCGGTGGATAAGGAACTGGCTGGATGGTCGTGCTCAAAGAGTTGTGGTCATCAGCTCCATGTCCGAGTGGAAATGAGTGGTGTCCTTCACGGGTCGGTATTTGGGCCGGTGCTGTTCAACATC